GGGGGGAGGAAGCGTTTAAGAACTAGAGGAAGGTTGTGGGTTTCATTATTTCTATACTGTACCCTAAGTGACTCATCTCCCCACTGCCCCTCTGCAAGGTATGTCTAGTTGTCTAGAGATGTTTTTCATTAGGCATCCACTCCTGTGCTTCACAGCTTTGAAAACCAACAGAAAACGATAAAAGACAAAATCACACTAAGGTGGTAAGGATAAAACCATAGCAGTATAAAGACAAAAGTACAAAAAAATCCGTAAGGAGGAAAAGATCCCCATCAACATTCAAAACGCCAGGGAGGAAATTTCTGTCATGGAACAAGAGATACTTGCACCCAGTACAAACTCAGGTTGTGTCTACAGGGAGGTCAACTGGCCAAGTATCAAGTTCGATCCAGCAGAGTCAAGATTACAGTGGTCTCTGCTTCAGACTCTTGCCTTTGGCTAGAATGGATCTGCCAGCGGCTCAGTCTGACTAGATACTGTGCAGTTGGGGTTGGGCGCCCACTGTCCTCTATGGCCTTCTCCAAACGGGGTGTTCATAATTTTAGCTCTGATACTTTCCTCTTCACCATATTTGAATTTTGTAATTGTCATCTTTGGATTAGACATGCCTATGATAACTAAAATTCAGCTTGGCAGAAAAGGCTAATTAACTGACTTTTAAGATGTAGTATACCTAAATGGGAATAGCTTGACTTAAAGTCAGTCACTGTAATAACAGTGATTTGCATCCAGTAAGTGTTTGTAGTTACTTTGTATAATAATAATAATGTCTTATGGTTTGTGAAAAAAATGAGCTACAATAAAATTTTAGAAATTGTGCAATTAGGTGGTATTACTGACTTTTTCCCATAATATTAAGGGATATTAGACTTGGACCTCAAGGTCTTTTGTAAGTTATAATTCAATCTATATGTTACATTTTGAATGATAAAAGTTAACTCTTAATATAGCCATTATGTTGCATAGCATTTTTTCCCTATTAGCTTCTTCTCTTTAGTACTAAGCAGAAACTTGCTTTTGAAGCTCAGCATAAATAATTTGTAAATTGTCTCAGATTATACAGTATAAAATAGCTTAACATATCTATAGCTACGGGTATAATAATGCTAAGATTCTTTTTAAATTTCCCTGTTTCTTTAGATTTATATTCATGTATTATAAGTGTTAAAGTCTTCAGTTGTTACCAAAAAAAAAAAAAAAGTCTTCAGTTGTTAAAGTTAGCAGTCATGTATTATTTAATTGAAGAAATATTTTAACACAAAAAGTACAATGAATAATGTAATATGCACTCACATACCCTCTATTCAAAATGAATAATAACACCGTCTACCATCTTTCTAAGAAATGAAAAATATGAAATAAACCTGCAGTCTCCCATGACCTATTCCTGCATTTTCATCTCTTCTTCCCCAGTCTGTTTTTTTGTTTTCTCTTATACTCACTAAATTCATTGCCTTTGAGTCATTTCGAACTAATAGAAACCCTACAGGCAGAGTAGAACTACCCCCAAGGGTTTCCACGGCTGCGATCTTCATGAAAGTAGTCTGCTTCTTTCCCTGAAGAGGGACATGTGGATTTAAGGTTCTGATCATTGGGCTAACAGACACATGCTTAACCACTGCACCACCAGGGCTCCATTTTAAAATACTGCATACTCATACGTATATTTATAAATAGCATGTAGTCTTATTTTGTTGATCTAGTTTTCTTTTATTTTTATATAAATCTTACCGGGCTGTATTTAGGAGACAAGTAAAAAGGGGGGAAAAAGGATATAGAGACAGCAAGAATGATCTGGGTGTCAGTACTGTAAAGAGTGTGGCCAGGGAAGGCCTACAGAAAAATTACACATTTGAACAGGTATTGAAGATGAAGACATGAGTTATATGACTGTTGGGGGATACATACAATTATTAGTGAGAAGCCTCTGAGGCGGAAGCATGCCTAGACAATTCGAGGAACCATCAGAAGGCCATTGTGGTTGGAGCGCAATGATTAGGGTCAGCAATTTAGAACATGCTAGGGAAGGAGGTGGAATAGAAATCTTGTAGAATCTTGAAAGCAATTATAATGCATCTTGCTTTTAAACTGAGTGAGATTAAAAGTTGTTGGGGGATTTTGAGAAGACTAGGGGTATGTTGTGAAAGTTGGGTTATGTAATTATAGTAATCCAGGTATGACAGGTGGTTTAGATCAGCATGACAGAAGTGAAAGTAATGAGAAGTGGTCAGATTCTGGATAGATTTTGCAGATAGCACTGGCAGGATTGCTGAAAGATTAGATATAAAGTGGATTACTATGGGGCTACTACAAGACTTGTACCTGAAAACCGAATGAATGGAATTGCCATTTGATGAACCAGGGACA